GTGCGAGGTGCTGGGTGGGGCGTGCAAGGTGCTAGGGGGGCGTGCAAGGGGTGCAAGGTGCTAGGAGAGCGTGCAAGGTGCTGGGAGGGGTGTGCAAGGTGGGGGGGGGGTTCAAGGGGCTGAGAGGGGCGTGCAAGGTGCTAACGGGGTGTGTGAGGTGCTGGGGGGGTGTGCAAGGGGCTGAGGGGGGGGCGTGCAAGGTGCTAACGGGGTGTGTGAGGTGCTGGGGGGGTGTGCAAGGGGCTGGGAGGGGGTGGGACGGGGCTACGGGGGTCGGTGGGTGTGCGAGGTGCTGGGGGGGTTCAAGGGGCTGAGAGGGGTGTGCAAGGGGTGCGAGGTGCTTGAGGGGTGTGCAAGGGGCGTGCAAGGTGCTAACAGGGGGTGTGAGGTGCTGACAGGGTGCTTGAGGGGTGTGTGAGGTGCTTGAGGGGTGTGCAAGGGGCGTGCAAGGTGCTAACGAGGTGTGTGAGGTGCTAACGGGGTGTGTGAGGTGCTGGGGGGGTGTGCAAGGGGTGTGCAAGGTGCTAGGACGGATGGGCGAGGTGCAGATGGGGCATGCAAGGCGTGCAAGGGGCGTGCATGGCGCAGGTGGGGCGTGCAAGGTGCTAGCCAGATGGGCGAGGTGCCGCAGGGGTGTGCAAGGGGCGTGCAAGGGGCGCCGGCTGGGTGTGCAGAGCCGCCGCCCAGCGTTGCACGGCGCCGTCCGGGCGTGTGAGGCGTGCGCAGGGCCCCCCCACCGCCCCCGTGTCAGCGTGCAAGGGCCCTGTGCGAGGGGACGCGCGCGTGACGCGCGGCTCTTGTGTAACGCGGGGCCGCACACGCGCGTGTCCCCCCCTGCACACCCACCAGTGTCCCCCATGCCCGTGACAGCCCCGCGTCCCCGTGAGCGTGTCCCCGCCCGGCGTCACGAGTGTCCCCGTGCCCTTGTCCCCGTGCCAGCGAGCGTGGCCCTGGCCCTGAGAGTGTCCCCGTGCACGCCCCGTGCCCCCGTTCCCTTGCACACCCCACTGTCCCCGTGTCCCTGTGCGCGCCCCCGTGCAAGCCACGATGTCCCCGTGTCCCCGTCCCCGTGCACATCCCCGCGTCCTGGTCCCCGTGCACACTCCTGACGTCCCCGTGCACGCCCGTGCCCCGATGTCCTCGTGCGCATCCCTGTGTCCTGCTCCCTGTGCACGTCCCCATGTCCTCGTGCACGTCCCCGTGTCCCCACGCGTGTCCCCACGCGTGTCCCCGTGTCCTTGTGCACGTCCCCGTGTCCTTGTGCCTGTCCCCGTGCAAACCCCGATGTCCCCGTGCACGTCCCCGTGTCCCC